AGCCAAGGTGAAGCAAATATTCTATCTTCAGGATCTTGTGAAAATGAGGGTGCCTCCAGGTAGTCCTAAAATGTGTGGTATTGTCTGGTAATTATTTTGGTTTTTACTTGGTTTTCTTTTTATTGTTGTTGTTATTGTGGTTTTGGGGGGGGTCTAAAAACTCCTTTATTTAGGTGGTGATATTTTATATGTTCTGTTTTCAAATGCCAGGATTCATTCCCCCCGCCTCTGATTTCTGTCCCAGGCCCTACAAACAACTAATCCCTTCTAAATAGAACAAAAATAAGCCCAAGAGTGTAAAAGCAATGGTGACTGACTTATATCTGCTGCCTACAAGTATTCAGATAAGCACTAAAATTTATACTTTGTGTTAAAATTCATCCTATGCAAGTATGACCCCTTTCATTGCTTGACTCTTCTCATGCTTCATAGAGAGAAAAGATGTTTTAAAAGTACCTGGTGTATTGGTCAACAGGCTGAGCTGTTGTTTTGTTTTGTTTTGTTTTGTTTTTAAAGATTTTTTTTATTTATTTGACAGAGAGAGACGCAGTGAGAGCAGGAACACAAGCAGGGGGAGTGGGAGAGGGAGAAGCAGGCTTCCCGCGGAGCAGGGAGCCCAATGCGGGGCTCGATCCCAGGACCCTGGGATCATGACCTGAGCTGAAGGCAGATGTTTAATGACTGAGCCACCCAGGTGCCCCTTGTTTTGTTTTTTTAAGTAGGCTCAAACTCATGACGGTGAGATCAAGACCCGAGCCGAGATCGAGAGTCTGACACTTAACCGGCTGAGCCACCCAGGTCCCTGAACTGTTGTTTCTTGAACTGGGATATTCCAAGATTCTAAGAAAAAGTCAAAACTTGATTGACCAGGATGTTCAGGGATAGGATGGGATCCGGGTGAACTGATTTGAAGCAGACAGTCAATCCATTTGTCTTACCCCTTGTTGAAATCTTTCTAAAATTATATGTTAACCCGTATAACTGTCTTAGTAATGTTAAGGATAATTTCCAGAAAAAGGTAAAATCATGAGTCTCGTACCGATATAAAAATGAACATGCATTAAAGATTTTATTTTACTCGTTAATCAACAAGGGAACCAGACAGATATTAGAGCAGGTTCAAAGAAAAAGTCCAAAAGCACAAATTTATATGGAGTAAAGGAATTGAATTGCAAATGGAGGCAAAACTGTTTTTTTCCACAGTGGGGAGGGAAGTCAGTCCAAACTCTATGGGACAAGACAGAGTTTGCATATCCATCAGTTATCTGCAATTTACAGAGGTGCAAACCAGCTCAGAGACAATGAGCTATGCTGGAATGGGGCAGCTGCGAAGGGTGTGCTATGGGCAGTGCGTGGTGCTTTCAGTGAAGTACAGCTTTCTTTTCTACAGTAACTAAGCCTGGTGGACACTTTTGGGGGGGTTGATTTTGCTTCTTGTAATCTCTCAGAGTCATCACCTCAATTTCTCATCCAGGATTCAGTTCCATATAACACTCATTTACTGAGTACTTACTATCTCTAAGACATTACAGAGGAGGGACGCCTGGGTGGCTCAGTCGGTTAAGCGTCTGCCTTCGGCTCAGGTCATGATCCCGGGGTCCTGGGATCGAGTCCCGCATCGGGCTCCCTGCTCCGTGGGGAGCCTGCTTCTCCTTCTGCCTCTGTCTCTCTCTCTGTCTCTCATGAATAAATAAATAAAATCTTAAAAAAAAAAAAAAGACATTACAGAGGAACCAGACACCAAAAAGACGGTATTTCTCACCTTAAGTAGCTTGATTGGTGGGGGAGACAGACATGTCACACCCCCAGCTAACCACACTGTGGAGAAGAGTAAGAATCTGTGCTGTGGGAGAGGTAGGGATGAAACATTTGAGGAGAACCAGAGAGGGAAGAGTTAACCGATCAGGGGCTGGGGAGATGACATGATGACATTTAAGCCAGGCTTTGAGGGGTGACAGAGAGAGGAGGAGGGGCACAGGAGAGGCCATTTCAGGGTGAGGAAACAGCGAAGTCCTGAAACTGGTTGATCTGTTCAGGGAAGGGTCAGGAGCTGGGATGGCAGAGGCCACAAGGAAATAGCAGGATGTGGCCAAAGAGGAGGCCAGAGGAGGTTTGAGGCCAGGTCAAGGAGGGCCCGGAATGCTGTGCTAAGAAATTTGGGCTTGATTCTGAAGACAGGAAATCTACTGAAAGCTTTTGGTGGCAGGGGGCAACATGGTCGAATTGGTGCTTTAGAAGATGAATATATTGTAAAATCAAGAAATTGGAGGCAGAGGGACCAGTTAAGAGGCTATTGTAATATTCTGGATGAGAGATGATGAGGGCCTGCATCAGGGTGGTGGCAAGAGGGGCAGAAGGAGAGGATGGAGATGGCATTAAGGCTTGACTCCTGATTGGCTGTGGGCGGCGATGTTGTGGGGGTGGAAAGAAGGAGTTGAAGATGACACCACTGAAATTTCCAGGCGGGGGGATAGTGGTGCCATTAACTAAGATAGGAAACGTGCTGGGTGTGGGGGGTGGGGAGCGGGTTTATGGGAACAGATAATGAGTTCGGTTTGAGACACATTGAGTTTGAGGGGCTCGGTGGACATCCAATTAACAGCGAGTTGCTGGCAGCTGGAAATTCTGGTCTGGGTCTGAGGAGAGAGGTCGGGTCTAGAGATACAGATTTGGGAGTCTTTGGTGCGGGAAGGGGAGAGTTGTAACTGGGGGAGCTCTGGAGCTGGAGAGAAGGAAGAGCGGGGTTCACACAACCCCCCTTCCCCCCCCCCCGCCACACACACACCGAGAGAAGTGGGGTAGGGGAGAGCCAACGAGAGCCAGACTGAGCTAGGGAGCCAGAGACAGAAGGAGGGCAAGAGAGACAGAGGGAGACAGAAAGACAAGAGAGGGAGACTGACGGCTGAGGCGAGGACAAAGAGTAGAGGGGAGGGGGACACAAGAGGAAGGAAGAAGGGAAGGAGGAGGAAGAGAAGGAAGAGATGAAGGGAGCCAGAGGGAAACCAAGGATGAGGAAAGAAAGGGGGGAAAGGACCCGGGCAGGAAAGGTGGGAGGGGGAGGAAGGTGGAGGAGCACAGACTGCGCCAAGAGAGATGGGAGAGAGGGAGAAGAGAAGCAAGGAAGAGGGGAAGAGAGAGACATCTGGGAGAATAATAGGGGGAAGAGGGAGGTGAGGAGGAGTAGTAGAGGGGAATAGGAGAAAGAGAAATTGAGAGGGAAGGGGAAAGGGAAAGAGAGAGATGGGGGTAGGGAGGAAAAGAGGCAAGGGGAAGAGACGGGGGCTGGCAGAGGTGAGGAGAGACCAGGCAAGACCAGGGCTAGGGTTCCGGGGTGGGTGGAGAGAGAGCCTTGGAGAAGCAAGCAGGCACTGGGTCAGGGAAGCCAAGAGAGGGGCAAGTACAAAGAAAGGCAAGGGCAGCAGTAACCTGTGCTTCGGAGAGAGGGAGGAGGGTGAGGACCAGGATGAGGATGGGGGGCTGTGGGGCTGTGGCTCTGCTGTCCTGGTGCTGCCTCCCTCCCTTGCTTGGGGACTTTGCACCAGCCACCTGGCCTCCTGGCTCTTTCTGGATCTTAGCTTGCAGCCTCCTGCCCTAGGACCTTTGCATAGATTGTTCCTTCTGCCGGGAATGCTCTTCCCCCCCGATGATACACACATGGCTCATCCCTTCGCTTCCTTCAGGATGTTTAAATGTCTCCTTCTCAGCAAGGCCTATGCTGGTTACCCCCTTTCAAAACTGTAGCCCATTCTGCGTGCCTCCCCCCGCCGACCATCGCCATGCCCCTTAGCCTGTGTTATACCACCTTCTAACCTTCTATAACAGGAGTCATTTAACGAGTGTATTGTCCATCTCATCCCACGAGAATATAAGTTCCATGAAGGCAGGGATTTGGGGTCTTTTTTGGTAGTCGTTGAATCCCCAGTACCTGGGACTGTGCTGGCACATAGCGGGAGCTCAATAAATATTTGTTGGATGAGCAAGTGCTCTTGTGTTGAATATGGACAATCTCTGAAGGTTATATAAAGAATAAGCGAAACAAACCCCTGATGTGACTATATTGTACTGATTTACTTCTTGGGAAAGTGGAGAACAGCAGAAAATTCTGATCACTGAGGGTTCTGTTCAGCTGAGCTCCAATGAAGAAGACTTTTAGCTAACTCGGGACTTTAAGGGTCTCAAGACAAGCTCATTGGGTAAACCGCTTTTTCTTGATGCCTCATTTCCTCTACAATTGGCTGTGCAGTGGTTGTCAACAGCGACAGCTGGACATTAGCTGCTGAAGGGGGTGGTAGGTCATGGGGATGACAAGTCTGATAGAAAGGGACAAGGACAGAAATGTGTGGTTTGTGATGGAACATTGTTTTTTGTTTGTTTGCTTGTTTGTGGTCAGAGTACAAAGAGTATTGCATCTGATTTTGAGGGAGCTTTAAACCAGCTTAAGTATGTGTGTTATATCTATATAACTCCCCAGTCGAAATCAGAATAGAATATTTTTGAAGGGCTTTTAAAGAAAGCATGTGCTTCCTCTGGAGAACTTAAATTGGTACGTCACTCAAATACTTCAGTACCCATGGATTAGAGAGTTGACGAGAAAAAGATCCCCAGTAGTCTTTCAATGCATTGTTCATATATGGGAACAACCCTCTAATTGTAGTTGGTTGGGCTAAATGTGTGTGGAAAAATATATTGTCATCTCGTTTGTCTGGAATAGATTGAATTTCCTCGAACACTCAAGCATATCTGTCTTTAAGATGATTTAAAAATCACTCTAGGTGATTAACAGCATCCTCGTCTCCATCCTGAAACCTATGGATTCCTGGAAAGCTGGTGCCCTCATCCCCGTTTGGGCCTTAATTTTCCATAGCAGGCTGGCTTGTGGGAGAGACCGCTTTACCATTTTGGTACCGTAATCACCTTTATTTAAATGTTTCCCTGTTAAAGGTGGCTCAAGCAGCTGTCCTTGTTAGGAGTTTTGATTTTTTGGCCTTCTTTTTCCTCAGGGGGAGCGCGGCCACAGCAGGTCCTATCTGGTGGTGAGCGGCTGTCATGATCTCGACAGCCCCGCTCTACAGCGGCGTGCACAACTGGACCAGTTCTGACCGGATTCGCATGTGTGGCATCAACGAGGAGAGGTGAGGAGGCTGGGAACGTGGCCGGTGCTGGCTCCCAGTGAGCGGTCCTTACTCACCAGTGGGGCAGCTGCGGCAGGGCCCTGGGAGGGACCCCAGGGGAAGAGTCTTCGGTTGTTTCTAATTTTCCTGGGATGGGATGGAGCTGGGGCCGTATGAGTGGCCTGCCCTGCCATGCTGTCCCCGTTCAGATGAAGGTGAGGAGGCCAGCAGATGACCTTTTGCCAACTAACATTTGTCTGCTCATTAAGAACTGTCAGACTGTGGAGTAAGGGGAAGCTCAGGCGACTGCAATTTTTATTTGCTGCATCCATGTTCGGTGCTCAAGGATACGCACAAGATATTTTTGGTCCTTGATCTAAGCCTGGAAGAAAGGCAGTTTTATTATTCAGCTGTATACTGGGAACTGTTAGTGGGTATTCTGGTGATCAGCGCTTTCCTGCCTCACGAGGCTAATGACGATTCGCAGTGCGATCCTTCTGAAGTATCTCAGGAAGAGCCAACTGCTTAATGTAGTTGTCGTACGGAACTGAGAGTTGGTGATGCCTGCCTAATCCGTGTGTGTTTTAAATGTTCTGTTCACCAAAATATTTGGTTGACCAAGCTCTGCCATTTACTGATCATGCCCCATAGGAAGGACACCCAAAATGGCCTTCAGATTTTATATTTTTGACTCTCATGACCTTTGGCCAAAGAAAGAGCTATGTGTGATGGTCGCAGTACCTCTCTCCTTTTTAGAAAAGGCATGCTTGCTGGTGTTCAGCTGTTGTTTCAGTCCATCGACTGTTTAAATTCCAATGCATCAGATCAGTCCCCTAGAACATGGACCGTTACGGCTTTTCCCGGGATTAAAATCCGGTGTTTTCCTTGGGTGAATCTTGGAAGTGTGTGCGTAGCTGTGTGTGCATGTGGGAGAATGTGTGTCTTCGTGGGTATCTTCTTTTTTCTTCTGCTCTTAACAGGAGAAGTGTGTACTTGTCTGAGGTTCAGGTTAGGAGAAGAGACCTTTTTTTTTAAAGCCATTAGTGCCTAATAGTTTAATGTTCTCTATACTGAGGAACAAGTTAGAGACGGACTTAAAAGGAATTTGATTTTAGAATATAAAAGTCAGGACTAAGGAAAATAAGACAGAATTCCTCTCAGATTTGCATAAGAAAGATATTTTCCTTTGCATGTGAGGTATGGCCTTAGGTAATGACCAGGAGGGGGACTGGGGAAAGGGAGGGTGGTAGTATTGATTTGCGTAAGCATTCACCCGCAACTTGGCAACTCGTTATAGGCAGTTGAGCCTTGGGTGCAGAGATCTGGACTAGAGCCTTTAACAAATAGGTGTACAAGCTGCCTTGGTTCATTGTCCATTCTAAATCCCTGCTGAGAAAGAAACAGGAAGGGAGCCCCAAACCCGCCTTTCCCTCTTTATGGACCTTTCTTGGGATGTTAAATTACCAAATATGCCTAGTGGTTAAGATGACCTTTTAAGCATTGTCACTTTTGATCTCATCTACCCTTTATTGTTGCCTTCCTCTACAGTCTAGGCCATGCTAGAGCTGCTTTCTGAAATGTGATCTCACCTTATTTAAAAACCCATCTTCCTCAGCCCTTTACAACTTGTAGAACTTAGACATTTCGGGTGTAAAGCTGCACATGGGGGTTAACTCTTAAAACTGTTTGAGAAGGGCGCCTGGGTGGCTCAGTTGGTTGAGCGACTGCCTTCGGCTCAGGTCATGATTCTGGAGTCCCGGGATCGAGTCCCGCATCGGGCTCCCTGCTCGGCGGGGAGCCTGCTTCTCCCTCTAACCCTCCCCCCTCTCATGTACTTTCTCGCTCTCTCAAATAAATAAATAAATCTTTAAAAAAAAAAAAAAACAACTGAGAAACCTGCCCGGCGTCATTAGATGCAGTTGAGGACCGATGCTGTTGCAGGGACAGGGACAGGGGCTTTCTGCAGGCCCCAGGTGGCTGACTGTAGTCACACCTCTGGTTAACTTTCTCTGTTTTCTCGCTTGCTTGCTTCCTTTCTTGTATCCATTCATTCCTTCATTCACCCACCATTTACTAAATCCAGCAGGAGCAAACCAACAGTCACGGGATGCTGATGGTGAGTGCTATAGAGTGGCACGCACAGGCCCTGTGGGAGTCTAGATGCAAGAACGGTAGACTTCCTGGGGGAATAAGGGAAGGCTTTCCAGAGGCAATGACATCTGACCCGGTGGCTTGAGGGATGAGTAGGAGTTTGAGGTGAGGGTTGGTATGTCCCACACGGTATGTTTGGGGAAGACCCTGGCTGGAATGAAGGTGGTCTTGGGGTGTGGTAGGACTCAGGCAGGGAAAGTCTGCAGGGGCTGGAATTTAAGGAGCCCGGTGTGGGTGGTGTGGTCAGGGCCCAGTGGGCACTAAAAAAGCTCTGGTTTGACAGTGGTGCTAGCCCTTCATAATTAGGAAAACAGCCCTGAAAGGTTATCGCCATTTCTGGTTTAAGTTCAACAAAGCCTGAAGCGCAACAGCCCAGGGTCATCTCTGCTGGGAAGAAGTGGTGGGATTGATTTTCAGTCCTGATTGAAGCCTGCTTTGACCCCTGCTCCCTCCTCCCTGCCGCCTGCACCCTCCTAACCTTGCCTGGTTGACCCACTTCTCTTTGTGCACCCCTCCCCTGCAAGCTATTCCTGTCCCAGGCTCCTCTCTCCATGGAGCGATTTAATGTTTGCTTAGCTTTGCACACCCCTCTCCTCAGAGAATTTGAAACGTGGCCACACGACGTTTTCCCAGAGCCTCGGGGGCTGGCACTCGGGCCCGGGCATGGCTGGGGTAGCCGGGACTGTTGCTTCCACTGCCGCTGCCACCCCCAGAGTCCCTGGGCCGCGGGCTCTGTGGGTCTGCCTTGGAGGCAGGTGGCAGGCTTTCTGCGTTCAGTTCAAGGTGATTTTATGTGGGGTGGGACCCCAGTAAGGGCAGCTAGCTCCCCTCCCTGTGGTCAGGAGAGGAAAGAACGGAAATAGCTAACATCTTTCCCCTGCAGCCCCTCAGGTGGGGTTGGCGAAGGGGAGGGCAGTGCCCCTCGTTCCCCTTGCTACTGCCCTCCTCCCAAAGCCCTCGCTGGCCAGTCTCATTGGAACATGCTTCTCCCCGGCCCAAGGCTGGGTGTAGGGCTGGCTTTTCTGGTCTCCCAGGAGCCAATGTCCAAGTATGTTTTCCCTTTCCCTCAGGGCCCCCCTTCCTCCCCTTCCTCGAGACCCCTGACTGCCTCTCCAGCCCTTGCCTGTCCTTACAGTCATCTCTGTTTGTCACCAGCAGTCATTGCCAGCGATGGAACCCTCCCACTTCTGCCAGCCTAGCTGCCTTTTAAAGGGAACAGATCTCCACCCCCCTTCCCCAGTTAGTCCCTCCTGGAGCCCTGAAATGGGAGGGAGAGGCCTGCGGTGATCTCCCTTGTCTTTTTTGCTTCTCTTGGCCCAGGTACAATTTTGGAGTCCATCAGTAGTGCCCTGTTCCAGTGAGAGGGAGGGAGTTAGCAGGACCCCTCCCCATTTTTATGGGGGTGGGCTGCAGGCTCCCAGACTGTCCTAGACTAGGGTGGCTGGTGAGGCAGGTGTTAGCTTCTTCCCGGGCTGCTGTAGAGCTGAGGGCGAAGAAGAGGAGCAGACTCCAAGGCGGTCCACTTCCCCCAGAGGTGCACAGAGCATTCCTGTGCTTCTCCCCCTCGGAGCTGCGCCACAGGGCTTCTGCTGGAGCTTTATTCTTCTACCCAGACCTTCCACTCAGCCACTTACCTGGGCTCTTGCCCCAGTGGTATCCTCCCTTGGGCAGACAGTGGTGGATTTTTGCTGTACCCCAAAAATGGAACTTCTAGTGGGTGTTTGTCCTCTCCTCAGCTTCACCCTCCTAGTCTTTTTTCCCCCCTAAGGTTCTTCCTGAAAACCTGGAGAAGACTTTTGGAGTAGGCTGGGGTTCAGTTAGGTTTTCCTCCTTTGCGACCCAGCTCTCTGGCCTTGAGCCCTTCCCTTTGCAATATACCAACTTGAATTTGGGGTCAGTGGCCTTGAAGGCCTCCCTTTGGGATGGGAGTGAACGTGGTGGTGCTGGGAGAACAAGGGGAGCGTGGGGGGCTGGCGGGGCATGGGATGCAGGCAGGAGGGCAGGTGCTGGCTGGAGCTCGGTGGTACTTTAAAATAGGGGAAGAGGTACCCTGGAGGGAAAGAAGTCGTGCCCTTGAAATGCCCCTCAGCACCCAGTGACCCGGTGGCCTCGAATCAGTATCCTTACATGCGCTAATAAATGTGTATCCGCTCTAGGCAACCCCATCAGGTGAATAGGTGATGATTCAGATTTAGAACATGACACACAATGGAGGTGGCTATTTGTTTTAGAAAAGGATTACCCTTATGATATCTGCAGCCAGCTTCCCTTATAGACTTAAAATAAGATTGCACTTAAGAGAAAACCTGGTTTCCATGCCTTTTGAGATCATCTGCCTTTTGGCAATGCCCAGTACCTCCTGGATGGTCACCTTGACAGGTAAGCTCGGGACAAAGCAAAGGTGCTGGGCCATCCTCCACGTTCCTGGTGAGAGCCCCAGAGAACAGGATACACAGCCCAAGGAGGGGAGTCTAGTCAGACTGGGCTCCTTTGCAGGAATTTGCAAAGCTGGGCTTGGAGGCTTCGGCTTGTGACCTGTCCCCCCAACAATTCCTTGTGATTTCCTCCAAGCCACCAAGGGAAGTGGTTTTATGGGAACCAGGGCAGGCAGGAGGCATTCTGCCGAAGGTAGTGGTGGCCCAAAGACCAGGCCTCATGGCCCTTCTCTGGTTGTGTCTCCCATGCTAGAAGAGCACCTCTTTCTGATGAGGAGTCCACGACAGGTGACTGCCAGCGCTTTGGATCTCAGGAGTTTTGTGTCAGCAGCAGTTTTTCCAAGGTAAGGGGCCATGTGGCGCCACATGTCACCCGGCAAAGGGCGGAGCTGATGTGCCCAGTCTGCCATCCCAAGAAGGGGGGCAGGCAGGAACGGGGTATTTCCCAGAAGTTGCTGTATGTGAGACAGAAATTGGGCGAGTCGCAAAGCGGGCCCGCCGCCGCCCGCCCCGGGCCTCGGGATGTGTGCCCCGCTGCAGAGAGCTAGCTGAGACGGGCACGCTGCTCTGTCGTTGCAGGTGGAGCTCACGGCAGTTGGAAGCGGCAGCAATGCCCGGGGGGCAGACCCAGATGGCAGGACAGCAGAAAAACTTGGGCACAAGTCAGAAGACAAGCCTGACGACCCCCAGCCACAAATGGACTATGCTGGGAATGTGGCTGAGGCCGAGGGCCTGCTGGTGCCGCTGAGCAGCGCCGGGGACGGCCTCGCGCTTCCTGCGGCTGACGGCGCTGCCGAGGCCAGCGACAGCACGGCCGACTGCTCCTGGGCTCCCCTCAGCACCCAAATGAGCAAGCAGGTGGACTGCTCAGCAGCGGGGGTAAAGGCTCTGGACTCTCGGCATGGCGTGGGGGAGAAGAATACTTTCATTCTGGCCACTCTGGGAACTGGAGTCCCTGTGGAGGGAACCCTGCCTCTGGTGACCACTAACTTCAGTCCACTGCCAGCGCCCATCTGCCCCCCTGCTCCCAGTTCGGCTGCCGTCCCCCCGTCTGTTCCGGATCCGTTCCAGGTTCCCCTCTCCGTCCCCACCCCGGTGCCCCACTCTGGGCTAGTTCCCGTCCAGGTTGCCACTTCAGTTCCGGCCCCTTCCCCTCCCTTAGCCCCGGTCCCGGCTCTGGCCCCGGCACCACCGTCGGTGCCCACGCTCATCTCTGATTCGAACCCCCTTTCAGTTTCGGCCTCAGTCCTGGTGCCTGTGCCAGCTTCGGCTGCCCCCTCGGGACCCGTTCCCCTGTCGGCTCCAGCCCCTCCCCCCCTCTCAGTCCCAGTATCAGCTCCTCCCTTGGCTCTGATCCAGGCTCCTGTGCCCCCTTCAGCTCCAACCCTGGTCCTCGCGCCTGTCCCCACACCAGTTCTGGCTCCCATGCCGGCGTCCACGCCTCCAGCGGCTCCCAACCCTCCGTCAGTGCCGATGCCCACCCCGACTCCGTCCTCCGGCCCGCCCTCAACCCCCACCCTCATCCCCGCCTTTGCTCCTACACCCGTGCCCGCTCCCACCCCAGCCCCGATCTTTACTCCAGCCCCCACGCCCATGCCGGCGGCCGCACCAGCTGCCATTCCCACCTCTGCGCCCATGCCAGCCTCTTTCAGTCTGAGTCGAGTATGTTTTCCTGCAGCTCAGGCACCAGCTATGCAAAAAGTCCCCCTGTCCTTTCAGCCAGGGACAGTACTGACCCCAAGCCAGCCGCTGGTATATATCCCACCTCCGAGCTGTGGGCAGCCGCTCAGTGTGGCCACACTGCCAACCACCTTGGGGGTCTCCTCCACTCTTACACTGCCTGTCCTGCCTTCCTACCTTCAGGACAGGTGTCTCCCTGGTGTGCTGGCCTCCCCAGAGCTCCGGTCTTACCCATACGCGTTTTCTGTGGCCCGGCCTCTGACTTCAGATTCCAAGCTGGTCTCTCTGGAGGTGAACAGGCTTCCCTGTGCGTCCCCATCCGGCAGCACCAGCACCCAGCCTGCGCCCGATGGGGTCCCTGGGCCTTTGGCAGATACTTCCCTCTCTACTGCTTCTGCCAAGGTGCTTCCAACCCCACAGCCTTTGCTGCCAGCCCCCAGCGTGAGCTCGGCCCCAACGCACCCTGCCAAGGTGCCAGGTGGTGGTGAGCAGCAAGCAGAAGGGACTTCCGTCACCTTCTCTCCCCTCAAGTCACCTCCACAGCTGGAGCGAGAGATGGCCTCTCCACCTGAGTGCAGCGAGATGCCCCTCGACCTCTCCTCCAAGTCCAACCGCCAGAAGCTTCCATTGCCGAACCAACGCAAGACACCCCCCATGCCCGTGTTGACCCCCGTGCACACCAGCAGCAAGGCCCTCCTCTCCACGGTCTTGTCAAGGTCTCAGCGCACAACCCAGGCTGCCGGTAGCAATGTCACCTCATGCCTGGGCTCCACTTCCTCGCCCTTCGTCATCTTTCCCGAGATCGTGAGGAATGGAGACCCGAGCACCTGGGTGAAGAACTCGACTGCGCTGATCAGCACCATTCCTGGCACCTATGTGGGAGTGGCCAACCCGGTGCCTGCCTCCCTGCTGCTGAACAAAGACCCTAACCTGGGCATCAACCGAGACCCCCGCCATCTCCCCAAGCAGGAGCCCATCTCCATCATCGATCAAGGAGAGCCTAAGAGCTCCGGTGCCCCCTGTGGCAAGAAGGGCAGCCAGGCTGCGACTGAGGGACAGCCAAGCACAGTCAAACGTTACACCCCAGCCCGCATCGCCCCTGGGCTGCCGGGGTGCCAAACCAAGGAGCTCTCTCTCTGGAAGCCCACGGGGCCAGCAAATATTTACCCACGGTGTTCAGTCAATGGGAAACCCACCAGCACCCAGGTCCTGCCTGTTGGCTGGTCACCATACCACCAAGCGTCTCTGCTTTCCATTGGCATTTCCAGTGCCGGGCAGCTGACCCCCAGTCAGGGGGTGCCCGTAAGGCCCACCAGTGTTGTTTCTGAGTTTTCTGGTGTGCCGTCTCTTGGCCCCAGTGAAGCTGTGCACGGACCTCCCGAGGGGCAGCCGCGGCCTGGGGGCCCCTTTGCTCCAGAGCAGGGCACTGGCACAAAGAACAAAACTTGCCGGATTGCTGCCAAGCCTTACGAAGAACAAGTCAACCCCGTCCTCCTGACTCTCAGCCCTCAGACGGGGACCTTGGCGCTGTCTGTCCAGCCTAGCAGTGGGGACATAAAAGTGAATCAGGGGCCTGAGGAATCAGAGAGCCACCTCTGCCCCGACAGCACTCCGAAGATAGAAGGTCCCCAGGGGGCTTGTGGCCTGAAGCTGGCAGGAGACACGAAGCCTAAAAACCAAGTGCTGGCCACCTACATGTCCCATGAGCTAGTCCTGGCCACCCCCCAGAACCTGCACAAGATGCCCGAGCTGCCTTTGCTACCTCATGACAACCGCCCCAAGGAACTCATCTTGGATGTGGTCCCGAGCAGCAAGAGGGGCTCCAGCACAGAGCTTTCACAGCTTGGAAGCCAGGTGGACCTGGGACGGGTGAAAATGGAGAAGGTGGATGGTGACGTGGTCTTCAACTTAGCCACCTGCTTCCGGGCCGATGGCCTCCCAGCAGCTCCCCAGAGGGGCCAAGCTGAAGTTCGGAATAAGGCCGGGCAGGCCCGAGTGAAACAGGAAAGCGTAGGTGTCTTTGCTTGCAAGAACAAGTGGCAGCCAGACTCGGTGGTGACCGATGGGGTGACCGAATCTCTGCCGCCCAAGAAGATGAAGTACGGCAAAGAGAAGGATGGTGAGGAGCAGCAACCACAAGCCAAGGTCACAGCTCGGAGTTCCCACGGACCCAAGGTGAGTGCGGGGCTGAGGTCGAGGGCAGGGCCCGCACACCGGAGGTCTGCTTTATCCTGCAGATGTCAGCCTCCCACGGCGGTGTTCTTGAGTAGCTCTGTGAACTGAACTCCTTGGAAGGCTTGTGTAAAGTGAATAATGACCTGCTGTCCCCTTTCTAAGTCCCATTGTCCATATATGGTGTTTTAGCACGAAGAGGGGCCGGCTCGTATTTTGTAGGATGTGGGAAATGATTTGGTCCCTGAGGCCAGGGAAGCCATTGTCCCAGATGAGGTTGGAAAGCGGAAGAAGGGATTGACGAGGGAAATCAATTAATAACAGGCCCTTCCCCACATAACCATTCTTCCTTTTCCTTTTCTGAGATGACTGCTGGCCTTGAGAACTTGGGATTCTCAACAGAGTTGTTCTCTGCACCACTGGGGGAGCCTGCTCAGGATATGCTTGGAGTTTTGTGGGGCCGAAGCCAATTTGGCTTCTGGGCTCATCCGCCAGTTTCCTATCTGCCCAAGGGCTTGGGGTGGCAGCTTTGTGTGTAGGCCCACTGGGAATTTGGTGTGCAAGGCAGGTGGGCATCTGGGTCTGGGTTCTTAACAGTGGCCGCGATCTAGGCAAAAAGGTGGGCCAAGAGGATTTGACTTGAATCCAGTGGTGTTCCAGAGGGGATCCAGAAGCCGCTGGTGATCCAAGGAGATTCTTGAAGCAGTTGAAGATAGGTCTTCTCAAAAATGTGGAGCAATTTAGGGGCACCTGATGGGCTCAGTCAGAAGAACATGTGACTCTTGATCTCGGGGTTATGAGTTCGAGCCCTGCTTTGGATGTAGAGATTACTTAAGTAAATAAAAAACTTTTAAAAAATAGGGAGCGGGACGCCTGGGTGGCTCAGTAGTTAAGTGGCTGCCTTTGGCTCAGGTCATGGTCCTGGGGTCCTGGGATCGAGTCCCAAATCGGGCTCCTTGCTCAGTGGGAAGCCTGCTTCTCCCTCTGCCTCTGCCTCTCCCCCTGCTTGTGCTCTGTCTCTCTCTCTCTCTGACAAATAAATAAAATCTTTAAAAAAAAAATAGGGAGCAATTTGAAGTTATGTTAAGCCTTCAAATTGAATGTTTCTTTAAAGATTGTATTTATTTAGGGGCACCTGGGTGGCTCAGTCGGTCAGGAGTCTGCCTTCTACTCAGCTCATGATCCCAGGGTCCTGGGATCGAGCCCAGCATTGAGCTCCCTGCTTGGTGGGGAGCCTGCTTCTCCCTCTCCCCGTGCCCCGCTTGTGCTCTCTCTCAGTCAAATAAATAAATAAAATCTTTTTAAAAATTTAGAAATAGATTGTATTTATTTATTTGAGAGAGAGGGGGGTGGGGGAGAGCAAGGAAGGAGAAGCAGACTCCCTGCCGAGCAGAGAGCCCAATGTGGAGCTTGATCCCAGGACTCCGAGATCATGACCTGAGCTGAAGACAGATGCTTAACTGACTGAACCACCCAGCCGCCCCACTTTTTTTCTGGCTGCTGGTTGCCATGTTTTATTTTTTTTATAAAGTTTTATTAGAATGCAGCCATGCTCTTTTTTTTTTTTTTTAAGATTTTTCATTTTCGGGCGCCTGGGTGGCTCAGTTGTTAGGCGTCTGCCTTCGGCTCAGGTCATGATCCCAGGATCCTGGGATCGAGCCCCGCTTTGGGCTCCCTGCTCCACAGGAAGCCTGCTTCTCCCACTCCCTCGCCCCCTGCTTGTATTCCCTCTCTCGCTGTCTCTCTCTGTCAAAAAAAAGATTTTTCATTTTCAAATTGAATGTTGATATACACTAATGAACAGATTTCTAGCCAGAGTACAAGGAATTTGGGTTTGTGGTGGAAACTCTTAGTCTTTTTTGGACCGTAGAGCATTTTGGGAAACTGTAAGACCCTGTCCACAGAAACATGACCTCAGAATTTTGCCAGTAATTTCAAGGAGTTCATGGGCCCAGCCCCTCCACAAAGCCCGCCCTTGGGCTCCAAATGAAGAACCCCAGGGATAGAGTTGGGGTGGGTTTTCTCAATGATCTCACAGCCACCTCTGTATGGCAGAGACATGCCAAGTAAGAACACAGGTCATAAAAAAAAAAAAAAGAACACAGGTCATGACATAGTAGAGCATATATATAGCATTTGCTCAAGTAACTGTGATTTGTCCTTGGTGGTAATAAGAATAATAATTCATGTTGTTACATGTACTGTATGCTATACACACGCAGACACACACACACACACGTAGCCTATATACTATATGCCAAGTGCTTTCTACAGACGTCGTCTAACTTCATCCTTACAATAACCCTATGAGGTGAATGCTATACCCAATTTACAGATAAGAAGATGAAGGAAACAGACTGAATGGGCAGGTTACCCAAAGTTACACAGCTACTAAATGGCAGAGCTAGAACTCAGACTCTAGTTGTTGGCTCCAAAGTTCATGTCCATCTTCAGCTGTGCCACCCTGTCTTCTACTCTCCTCATGTATAACTGTTTCACTGGCCATTTGGCAAGTGTTTGTTGAGTAGTTACTACATGCAAGTCCCTCCCAGGCGTGAGCTACATCTTCAGGAGGGCGGTACAGCATTGTGGTGAGGAGGATGCTTTGTGGAGCCAGGCACAGTGCCCAAGTTGAAGTGTTGGTCCTGCTTTTTCCTAACTGTGTGCTATCGGTCAAGTGACTTAGTCTCGCTGGCCCTCAGTTTCCTCATCTGTATAATGAGACTATAATAGTACCTCTTCTGGGCGCCTGGGTGGCTCAGTTGGTTAAGCGACTGCCTTTGGCTCAGGTCATGATCCTGGAGTCCCGGGATCGAGTCCCACATCGGGCTCCCTGCTCGGCAGGGAGCCTGCTTCTGCCTCTGACCCTCCCCCCTCTCATGTGCTCTCTCTCTTTCTCTCTGTCTCAAATAAATAAATAAAATCTTTAAAAAAAATAGTACCTCTTCCATAAGGCTGTGCAAAGATTAAATGAGATGATGTCATGAAGTGTCCAGAATAGGCAAATCGATAGAGACAGGAAGTAGAATCGTGGTTGACTAAGGCTGGAGGAGATGGGGAAATGGGGATGGGATTTCCATTTGGGGCAGTGAAAAAGTTCTGGAACTCCATGATGGTTATATGACTCTGTACTAAAAGCAATGGAATTATAAACTTAATCAAATGAATTGTATGGCATATCTCAAAAAGTAACATGTCAATAAAGCTGTTACTAATAAAAAGTAAATGAGGTGATATATATGAATGCTTAGAACAGTGCCTGGCAGGTAGTAAGTGCTCAGTAAATGTTCGTGGCTGCTGGTTGTTATTGTTAGTATTACTAACAAAATAGACATGCTCCCTGCTCTCATGGAGCTTATGTCTTGCAGGCGACCTGATGACAGGCAGGCTCTGCCCTTTACTCTATTAGATGAACAGTTCACTGGGCCCACTGACAGGTGCCGAGGGCAGAGAATAAAGTTACGAGATCAGGGGCCTTGCAGCAGCCCTTCGCAGCTTCCTGTAGTGATTTAGCAAATGTCCATTTTTGGGGGAGAGTAAATAACTTAGATCTTTCTTTTCTTATCTTCTATTTTTCCAGAGAAAGAAACTTGATAAGCAAAGTCAGATCAGGGCTTAATTCAAAACAGCCCCTTTCAGGGTATGGCCAAGAATCAGAATAGTCTCCTGTCCCCTACACCACCTGCCCCAAGGCCTCATGGAATCCTGAAGGGCTGGCTGAATCCTCAGCAAAGAAAGAGTTCTGCTTCATCTGGTGCTGGGTATATTTTACTGTCTTCTCAGCCTTTGGAAAATTCCTTGGAAAACCTTTCAAAACTCTGTTAACCAGAACATTCATCTTACACGGTCTCCCCATCCACCCAACTTTTTGCCTAAGTTGGAGCATGCAAATACATTTTTACTCTCGGTGCTGCCCTTGCAGAACATTTGGACAGAAATCCCTTCTAGATGTTCTGTTTTACTTGTTTTTGACTACCTTAGGAAATAAAAGTTAATGATCTGCACTTGAAAGAGCCAGCTAAAAGTGATATTCAGAAATAAATAGGACATGTTCAGATTTATGTGCATTTAACTTTATTCCCCCTGACTTCAAGTAGTCTTTCTCTGGCCATTCCTGAAGGTGAGATTTTAAGCAACGGTTCCCCATCTTTCTTTCCTCCCCAGTTCTTTCTTTTTCCTAACACTTTGATTTGTAGGAACCAGCAACAGGCAAAGGGGGCAACTGAACTTGAATTTTTAGCTCAGCCCTCTGCTGAGTAAGAAGCAGGAGGAAATCACAGTTTAGTAGGAGTCCTGGGAATTTGGTGGGGAATGGTCACTCCCTATCCCTGGGGAATTGAGACACTTCCCCCCGCGACACCCCGGAAAATGTTCTATTGATAAGATATCGGCTATCCCCTTAGCTGGAGCTAGACAGTGATAACCTTCTAGGAGGTGCATGTGGGTCTGCTTAGGGGGAAAACAACTCTTCCTTTCTTCCTAGGGCCTGCTTTCATGTTAAAACGTTTTGCTTATTCTGCACTCCCTGGATGCTAGAATACTAGAAATCCCTACCTTGCCCTATTTCTTGTTTGGTGGCATGGAGAGACCTCAGAGCTTGTGAGCGTATGCAGCTGTGAGGTTGGGAGTGTCCTTGTGCTGTGCAAGCACGGCCGGCGTGCCTGTCCGAGTGGGCGAGTGAGCAGGGCTGAGCAAAAACAGTGGAGGACGTGAGTGGGGAAGGAGAAGAGTGAGAGCTGCTGCAGAGAGAGGCCCAGGTGGGGAGCCAGGAGCCCTAGGTCTCAGTCCCAGCCCTGCCACTTTGTCACCGCAGGCGCAAATGAGCTCATTTGCAGATTTGCCTGGGAAGTGGCAGGCGCCCCCCAGCGCGCGGACGCCCGGGGTCGTGTGTTGCCCTGGACAAAGCATTTAACCTCTAGTCTTGGAGCCTCAGTTTCCTGGTCTTTGCAGTGGGGATGATACTAACTTCTGCTTTCAGGGTTGTCAGGAAGATCAAATAAAATAACAGAGAAGGAAACGTTTTGAGACGTTGAAAGTACTGCAGAGTATCAAGTGGCATTATTAATAATGCCTCGGCCTTTTCCTTGTCTTCCGTAAGTGCGGGCCAGTGTGAGTTGCTCCCGTGTCATGCCTTTCTTCTTGCCTTTGTTGAATCTATTACACACGGAGATAGACCGTTTTTCTTGAGTTGGCCCAGGCTAAGGATTGTTTTCAGTTGTTGGTGTCTGTACCATTTGCACTGAAGGTATTTGACCAGTGTGGTCACCCGACTTGCCGAAGAGGCATTTCTGTTTGCTGCCCGTCTCTATTGCTGTTTGGATGTAGAGAGCATGGGCCTGACTTTGCGCCTTTGAAAATGACTTTGGGTGTTGATGTGGCTTGTGAATGCAGCCTCCGTAGACCTGTAAAAATGATGGCGTGTGGATGTCTATGGAGATTAGTTAGGGCACAGGGTTCAGGCCCAGAAAGCCCCTGCCCTGGGCCCCCACCTGGGCTCTGAGCTCTGTCCGTGTGTCAGAACGGGGCCCCAGACTTATCATTGGCAAAGCTTTCTTAAGAAGAGAAACTGATCTCAGACTTGACTCTCTCTACCTCTCCACAGTGCCGGAAGCCGCCTAGTGACCCCCAGGAACCCACCAAGAAAAGCCCCAGGGGGGCTTCAGATTCAGGAAAAGAGCACAATGGAGTCAGGGTAAAGCACAAGCACCGGAAGCCAGCAAAGCCGGATTCCCAGTCTCCAGGAAAGCGAGCTGATGGCCACGAGGAAGGTAGGCTCCTCAGTTCCTCGCCCTCTGGGCTGGGCTATAGAGGGATCCCCATGGCAGGTCATTGGCGGGTTGGGGGGTGGGGGTGACTCTGCACTGCCCAGAATAGTGAGACTTCCTCATTATGGAAAGAAGATAAAACTGACACCTCTGAAATCAAAGGCAAGGGAGAATGGGGCTTATTCTGTTCACCCTGGTCACTAGAATAAGGTACGCTCTGAGGGCCAAAGAGGGTGGTTTTCAGACAAACACAAGTCAGTCCTATGACAGAGTAGCCGAGCCATTACCCTGCAATGGGTCTAGGCTCAGAGAAGAAATGGGGTTCATGAGGACTGAGATCAAAACAGCAGGATGGGGTTCATGACACATGTTTTTCTACCTTTGGTATATTCGAAAACTCCCATTATAAAAAGTTAAAAAATTAATACCCAGCTAGCTAGCCAGAAGCGTTTAGGGAAATACTGAACTCTTATTATCGAGAGACACGCAGTATGTTTGGAGTCGGGAGGTGTGTACTTGACCTGTGTGCTCTGCCACGCTAGTTCCTTGGTGCCCTCATCAGAGAGAGACACCCACGTGTTCCTGCGTACATAGCCTGTTTTCATGGCTTTGCCTGTCTGACCCGACCTGCCTTTTTCTAGTCTGTTCTTATGCGGCAGTTTTCCTTTCTCCACTACGCCCTGCTCCCATCTTCCTGCCTTGCCCAGTCCTCTACGATCCATTGAGGTTGCCCTCGTCTGGGACCTGCTCCAGCTTAGTTCTAACTTTGTGGAGGTGCGGCAGCCTCACAGTCCTACAGACAGCCAGGCCTTCAACTTGCTGGCGAGCTGGCGAATCGATTCTGTACACAGCCCTTTCTTTGGTGTCAGCAAAAATGACCCAACTCCCAGTTTTCAAAAACCGCTGGGAATTGCTCCTTCTCCAAGAGAGGTACATAGGTGAGAGCAGCCTGAGGAGAGCCGATGAATGCGACGCCCAGAAAGACACAAATCCTCCCTTGATTTTTCCACCCAAGCCTCTCCGGGATGGGGGGGCGGGGTGTGGGGCTTTCAGTCCTTGGACTCCTGATTGTGATATTTCTACCTTCTGCCCTGAAACCACACGTCACTCCAGGTTCCTTGGAGAAGAAAGCAAAGAGCAGTTTCCGTGACTTCATCCCCGTGGTTCTGAGCACGCGGACGCGCAGTCAGTCTGGTGAGTGAGTCTGAAGCCACGGCCCATCTTGGCCCTTCTCTGCAGAGAGAGGTAGAAATCTGGTCGAGTGATTTTGCCATTGGTCTAGGTGGAGAGTTGAGACTTCGACTCACCATGCTAAGATGCCCAGCTCCTTGCAGAGACAAGAGAGCCCAGGGTGGGGAGGGGGAACACAGCCCACAATGTTAGGACTGCTTGCTTCACTTTTCCAAACAGGGCGTTTCCGAGCAGGGATTTGACATCTCTTGTTGGCAGCCAGTGGTGGAAGGAGGAAAGGCCTGTGCCACTCAGGAAAACCGGCCTACTCCAAGCTTTCGCATCTCATGGTCAGCGGGGCCAGTCTCAGGCACGGACATGCAACCTTTGGACTTACCGCCCTATGTGACAGGCGTCAACAAAATCGGCAGTGGTCACTGAGTTGTCAGGGCCGGTGGAATCGCATTTGGCCCCCTGAATTTGTATTCAGTGTCTGAAGAAAGATAGCTCTTTCTGGCCCCCGCCTTTGCCTGCCAGCCTCCACGTTGGTGTGTAGCACTAGAAGTGGTTGCCCTGCTTCACCTGTGTTTCCATGCGGAGTGGCTAGAATGGGGAAGCAGGGCGCAGTGTAAACTCAGCTAGCTGACATTCTATTAACTGGCACCCTCAGCTCACGGAGAGCGCAGTGGTAATTGGGGCTCATAATGACGGCCTGGAGGCCTCGCAAAATCCTGAAGTGTCTTCTGAATCATCAAAGAGTGATTACATTATGCCCAGTCTCATTTTACTGTTAAACACATTGTACTGCATTTGATTCTTTGGAAATTGGTGATCCCTGTGTGATCTCTCTGGTGATTCTGTATTAACCAGAATATTAGATTAACCAGAACACTTCGTTCCTTGCCTGTCTGTATATGGAGATTTTGCTGGATATTTGCTGTCTTTAAACGGTCTGACTGACTTGAAGCTTTGGTTAAGGACTATTCCTTTTGCTTCAAAACCATTTCTTTCTTCCACTGACCTCGCTTGTGTTTGGGGATTGTCAAGTTAATAGCGAGTCCTTGGGAGAAGGATGGTGGTGTTTCAGAGCAGCTTCTGAAGAAGATCATCAGATCTGCTGTTGTGCTAAGCCGGGCCAATTTAGGGTCGTACTTTTGTGGTTAGCAGAGTTATGAAGGAAGGAGTGGGGATGAAAATGGCCTCTTGGCAAGATGGTGGAGGAGGGCAGGAAAGGTACCATCGTGCCGGGGTGCTGGGGAGAGGGGAGGGAAGTGCCTGTCCAGCGGCGAGGAGCCGCTGCGGTGGGGAGGAGGGGGGTGTGCAGGGAGAGAGCTCCACCCCTGGACTCTTGGCCACTTAATAGGAGGTGGGGTCAACGCGAGGGAAGAGGGCCTGGCGGAGGAGCATTTGGGCGGGACTAACCCAGGCTGTGTCACAGGAAAGTGACTCCTTGCTTCGCTTTTCCTGAGACTCTTCTTTTGTGATGATTCTGCTTGCCCAGGGTGGCTCTGTCAGTGAGACTGGTGGTCACATAGCGAGCAGGGGCGGGGGTGCCCTGCCGATCTGCCCTCCCTCACCTGCTACTGAACCCTGATTTCCCAAAGGGCAGGGACCTGTGGCCTCCTCCTGCTCCTCACATAGTGCTTTGCGCCTCATAAGCACTAAGTAAGAGTTTGTGCAATGAGTTAAAGTCACAGCAACGTGGATGAGGAAGGGCGTGTGGCTTGGATACTCGATATTTGTGTGGTATATTGGACTCTGTAAAATGCTTATGGGCGGATTATCTCATTTGAGCCTCAAAACAGTCCTGTGAGGCCAGTAAGGCAGAGAACAGTGTCCCCGTTTTAAAGAGGAGGAAACAAAAGTGAAGGAACTTTCCCAGAGCACACAGCTAATAACTGGCAGAGCCTGAACTTGAACCCAGACCTTCAAGCTCCTAATCCAGGGCACTTGCTTCGACACCATACTCTTTGTCCTTTGAAGAGGTACCTGACCGTCCTCTGTACATCCCATCCACAGGAAGCATCTGTAGCTCCTTTGCTGGTATGGCAGACAGTGACATGGGAAGCCAGGAAGTCTTCCCCACAGAGGAGGAAGAAGATGTGACCCCCACCCCGGCTAAGCGTCGCAAGGTGAGAAAGGCCCAACAGGACACCCAGTATCGCAGCCACCATGCCCAGGACAAGACTCTGCTGAGCCAGGGCCGCCGGCACCTGTGGCGAGCCCGAGAAATGCCCTGGAGGACTGAGGCTGCCCGGCAAATGTGGGACACCAATGAGGAGGAGGAGGAGGAGGAAGAAGATGAGGAGGAGGGCCTGGTGAAGAGGAAGAAGCGGAGACGACAGAAGAGCCGAAAATATCAGACTGGGGAGTACCTGACGGAGCAAGAAGAAGAGCAGCGGCGGAAAGGGAGAGCAGGTAAGGCTGGCTGGGGATTGCTGCCTCAGCGAGCTGCTATCACTCATCCCCAGGCCACAGTGACTTTGGCTTCTGGGGACCCTCGGGCATCCTGGGTGTTCCCACCTCTGCCTTCTCTTCGCCAGCCGAAGGCCTCTGCACCCATAGAAACCTGGTGCTGTGAGCTCCAGCTGCCAGAGGGGGTCACTCAACTCCAAGCCCCAGGCTGTGGCTTGGGGTTCAGATTGAATGAGTTTGGACTGACCTGCAGGGGAGCGGAGGACGTGAAGGCCCGAGCCCTCCAATTTCATATAAGAGTCTGAACCTCTGAGCAAGGCCACAGTGGCATCCTTGGCATGTGACAACTCGATACCAGGGAGTTCTCTGGTTGGCTTGAGGGAGCTGGCTCTTGGGAGGCTGGGTTCTTTCTCCTAGAATCCTGGGTTCAAGAAGAAAGAGGCATTGGCTGCCTTTCCTGGGATGCTTCCAGCCCCTACACTAAAGAGAAGTACCAAGTTTCCTCAACTTAACAGAAGAACTTCAAGTAGAAGCGGGCACAACTATGCTTTCTCCATTAAAGCTGCAAAGGTTCTTAAGAGGCAGAGTGAAGCTTTGAGGTGACCCAAGGTGCCATCAGTTTTGTTGGACCCAAGTTGGAAGAGCAGGCAGACCAAGGAGAAAACCAGGCTTTCTTTGGCTACGTCAGATGCTATAATATATAATCATGGAGGCACAGACTGTCACCAAGGCTAATATCAGTATGTTCTGCTAAGTATTGTTCGGGCCCATTTCTGGGGTTTTTTGGGGGGGGCATTTCTATAGCAGATTTCTAGATGAGCAAAAAGTATGTTTCTGGGTTCTGTAAGAGCAAATCTCTCTCTCACTCTTTCTCTGACCTCTGCCCTTGAAGCAATATTTGATTGTCTCTGATAATGTATTTATCCTGCGCTGCTGGGAAGTATCTACAGTCTCCCTATTATTGAAAACAGAATAGCTGCCTTCTGAGGGGGTAATAGATTCTGGGTTTGCTATAACGCAAACAAGGCTAACCCTCACTTCCAGCTCAGTTTAAGTATAGATGTGTACGATACCGTCCCTATACTGCAGAGGGTAAGAGAACTAATTTTCATCAACTGTGGGAGAGGGTGGGGATGATTTTCCCTTTTTCCTGCCAGAGCCGTAAGGGATTGGTCAAGAATGAGGCATCAAGCCGTTGGTCTCAGCCACTTGTGTTTGGATGAAGAAGAGCTTTTGTGTCACGCAGTCTTCTTTACTGAGAGCTGGTTCCCTGCAAGCTTGGATGCTTCCTGTGGAACTTACTGGTTTGGAATCAGAAGGACCTTTGAGGTTATCTGGTTCCATTTTCCACCCAAAGCAGAGATCTCTGTAGCACTGTGGATAGGTAGCCTTTATGTAAACACCCCTGGGAGCATGGAGAACAACTGCTTGGCAAGGCGTCCTGTTTGATTTGGGGGCAGCTGCAGCTGTGGAACGTAGGTCATTCTCCCTCCGTGCATATGTCTAAGGGTTTTGAGTCAAGGCTGTTGGCTTTGGCTTATGGTTTGGTTACCTTCCTCCAGATCCTATGGTGACATCTTCATGAAGGGATTGCCTGGCAAACATCTCTCTTCTCAGGAAAGCTCTGATCCTTCCTATTACTGCCTATCTTTCAGGTTGACATGAGGGAGTCAGGCAGAGGCCAAACTAGACAGGTCACCTTACTTCTGTCGGAGCCTCATGGCCTTTCTGTTTTTTTAAAGGATTTTATTTATTTATTTATTTGAGAGAGAGAGTGAGCATGAGTCAGGGTGGGGGGCGGGGTGGGCAAAGGCAGAGGGAGAGGGAGAAGCAGACTCCCCACTGAGCAGGGAACCCGATGAGGGGCTCCATCCCAGGATGCCAAGATTGTGACCTGAGCCGAAGGCAAATACTTAACCGAATGAGCCACCCAGGCACCCTCATGACCTTTCCTTTTGTCCTGGACTTTGGTATCTCCCTCCTTGACCTGCAGAGGGGATAAGAATTGGCTCTGGGTTTGGAGTGGAAGAGCCACTTCCACTTACCCAGCTACTGCTTCCACTCTGTTTCTTTCCGTGCTACTATGAAGTTCTTGCTCCACTGCAGCTGAATAAGCTCCAGAGCCTGCCCATCCCTGGGTCAACGGGGTAGGGAGCTGCTGCTTTTCCTGTGGCGGTGAATGCTGTAATATGGCGTCCCCATGTTTCCTGAGGTCCTCCCTCACAAGGCACAGTTCTGTTCCTTCCTCTTTCGCCTCAGCCCAGACTTGTTGCATCAAAAGTCCCAGTTTAGAATGTTCTGGTTGGAATTGCCATTAGAAGCCATCTAACACAGCCGTTCTTGGACAGGTGTGAGGACCCACTGGTGGGTTGGGGCTAGTTGGGAGAAAACGTTGGTATGATAACTGGCTAAGAGCTGTGCGTAACCCAGAGCCAATTCCTCATATTCTAGTGATGGCTCCCGCATCTGGATTTGCCATTGGTAATGTCACATGTGAGAACACATGCCACGGTCAAGGGAGGCTAGCTAAGAATTCTTGGATCTTGCTTAACTCCCTTGGTTCACAAATTGGAGAAACTGAGGCTGCAGTTACTCATTTCCTAGACATACTGATCTTTTGTCATGTGCTCAGTCCTGTGGGGGAAATAAAGAACACATGGGCATGGCCCTCCCTAAAGAGCTTGCACTGCAATAATATGATAAGGATGCCTTCCTCTTTATAACACCTTATAAAGGGGCTTTTGTATATGTGACCTCATTTAATTCTCATACCAGTCCTCTGATGTGGAATATACTTTCTCCATTTTATAGACATAGAAACTGAGACTGTGGGAGATTATGTGGGTGATTATGACTTGCCTCAAGCCAATTACACAGCTAGTGGCCAAGCCATGTGACACTAATATTAGTTAAGAGATAAGAGTAAACTTAATCTATCCCCCCTATACCTGAGGTTTAGGACTGACCTGTGGGATGAGGCTATTGGCAATGAAGTTCCCAGCGCCGCTCAGGGATCCATCTGGAAAGAGCTGTAAGAATCACAACATACTTCTAAAAAAAAAAATTTTGTTAATTTATTTTAGATTTGGGGGGCAAGTGGGGGGAGGGAGCAGGAGGGGGAAAGAATCTCAAGCAGACTCCGTGCTAAGTGTGGAGCCTGATGCAGGGCTCCATCCCACCACCCCAAGATCATGACCTGAGGTGAAACCAAGAGTCAGCTGTTTGACCAACTGAGCCACCCAGGCGCCCCTTGAATCACAGCCACACTTTTTGAAACTAGAAAGTGCTTTGTCTAGTGAGCTGTGGCTAGAATTAGAGATGTTGCCCAGTGTATCCCAGTGACTTGATTTCCAACCAGGGAAGGCAGCAGGTTTCTGTGACTGTCCATCAGCTAAGTAGGCCCAGGGCACCTTCTGGTTTCAGGGGGTTTCTTTGGCTTTGATCTTGGCATCCTCAGAGAGTGACCAACCAGGCAGTCAGGTGGGTGGGCGGAGGCAATGAAGGAAGACTTCTCCATTTACGCCCCACCCCAGTATACTTCATACTTCGCTTCAGCAGAGCTGCTAAATTTGTTTTCATACTAGAATGGAGAAAGAGACAAAGCCGATGGGGGAAAAGCTGAAAAGAAGGTTCTGATTTGCTCTGGGCTATGGGGAAATCCTTTTAAAATTACCCTCATCTTGGGGACAGCCAGCTGGGCCGCCCCCTGCTGGCAGGGCTGGGGGTTGTCACCGGCTTGGAGAGGAAAGACTTGGATGTTGAAGTACAGTGTCCACTTGAGAAGCGTTTAGTGGCATTGTTGGTACCACACTAGACACTGGTAGCTGATCGTTACACAGCTCGGCACTGAGATTCGACTCCCCAAAGCCTTCTGATTCATCGTAGAGGAAAGCATTGCTTTTCTGTGTTCCATTTCCCTGACATCCATTCTTTCCTGTTTCTTGCCTTCAGATTTAAAGGCCCGTAAGCAGAAGACTTCCTCCCAAAGTTCGGAGCACCGCCTCAGGAACAGGAACCTTCTCTTGCCCAACAAAGCCCAGGGGATCTCGGATTCACCAAACGGTTTCCTCCCAAATAACCTGGAGGAGCCAGCCTGCCTTGAAAATTCAGAAAAGCCATCAGGAAAACGAAAGTGCAAGACCAAGCACATGGCAAATGTCTCAGAAGAGGCCAAGGTGCGTTGCCAGTGAGGGGAGTTTATGGGAAGGAAGTGGGCTAGGGTGGCAGGCTTTCCACAGGCTCCTTGAACAACAGTCATCTGAGTGAGTGAGTAAGTGGATGAGGAGGACCCAATTAGCTCATATTTATTAAAGTATTTTGAAGTAGTTCCAGAAGAGTTGGGGGTTACATTTGAAGAATGGGACCTAAAGTTATCAGCTAACAATAAGAGTCTGCAAACTCTCAGGTTTGGTTCTTAATGGCTTTTCCTCAACAGCTCTTGGATCTCCTTTGAGTTAGGGAAGAGTTGAAGAATATGGCAGGATGTTAGCCTGAATAGCTTGTTAACATCCAATCAAGAAGCTTTTGTCTGGGCTTAACTCCCTGGAAACCAGTCAGAGAGTTTTCTGAATCAATCAAGGTAGAAAAGAACTTGTAGAAGCAAGGATGTTGATGTCCAGACAAAGGTTGCTTGAGGGTAGGCTGAAGGAGTTAGAGCTGCCCTCCCACTGGCAACTCACCAGTTCCTTTGCTTCTCGGGGAAGCAGAGGAGCAGGTAAGTGGGCACTCACCAGTCAGTAGCCAGGCCAGCATTCTAGAATCGCTGTTCATAATTGACATCTTTTTGGGGGTTCTGATGTTCACATCATTGGTTTCAGGTTCCACATTATACCATTTGCAAAAAATCACATGGTCCTCAGTCCTCAGGTGAGCTTTACATTTGAGAGAAGCGAAGGTCCAGGCCCCAATGTCATTGGCAACCCAAAAAAAAAAAAAAAAAAAGGTCATAGTGGTCTTGTTTGGTGGTTGTGATTTTTCCAGCTCTTTCCAGCTCCAGAGCAGGGATCCCTGAGTGGCACTGGCAAAAGGCGGGAGACCCAGGTGCTCGTCTCCCCCTCCTTTTCCCTTCCCCCTCCTGGAATCTGGTTCCAGCTCAAACAAGGTACTCAAGCCTATTTCCTCATCTTTAAAAATGGAGATGATACTCCATGTCCTTTCCATCTCACAAGGGTGCTTGGGGGAACAAAGGAGGCAACGGATGTAAAAGGCTTTGATCACCGTAAAGTGCTCTTTGAGGTTGGTGTACATTCTTGAGCTTCGGGTCGAGGCAAGGATGGGAGGACAGAGGCCCGGAGTGGCAAGGTAGTATGACCATTCCCTCAGACCCCCGGAGGGGGCGGGGCCAGGGGAATAAAGAAGTCTGGTCTGTGCTGAGGGCTCCGTTCACGTGGTCGTTCTAAATTCCCACAGTGGCTGTTAGAGGTAGGCACTGTAGTCCTTGTTTTATGGTGAGGAAACCGAGGCTCCGGGAGGCTAAGGGACTGGCACGAGGTTACTCGGGGTCACGAGTGACAGAGTCAGGACGGGAAGCAGGCCTCACTGCCTCAGCTCTTCCCGTGTGCCTCCACCCGGTCAATGGGTGGCTTCTGTCTGTATCCAGGAGACGCTGGGGCGGGGAGCAGCCAGGCAGGGACACACTGCGACACTGAGAGGCTCTGGTGAAAGGTGGGCGTCCCCCTCCTCTCCCCCCGGCTCCTCCCCAGACACTCAGATGGCCCTGTCCCACACAAAGGTGACTGGCTGCCTGACATTCAGCAACACACGCTCAGAGTTGTGTCTGGTTATTCCGCCTGGCAGTGTGTCTGCAGAAATGTTCCTCCCAGAGAGGTTTTGTCCCTTCACAGGGCCTCCCTTTCTCCCTCCCGCCTTTCTTTCTCTCCCAGTCACCACCACCTGCTCTGGATGCCCCCATGGCATGGTGCTTTGTAGTGGGAAGCGGGGCGGGGGGAGGGTGGGAGACGTGCCTGCGACACTAAAGCTAGGGCATTGGCCAAAGGCTTCTTCCCACAGGGGCTCTGAGCCAGGGAGGAAGAGGGGAGGGGGCCCCCATTTGTTCTTGCTCCTCCCCCTCAGGCAGCCTCGCTTGTCTCTGGCGGCTCTTGCCCCCGGAAGGAGAGTCACCCTTTGGCTCCTGGCTTGGCTTAGCAAAAACCTAGGCACTTTACCCAGCATCCTCCAGTAGTGCCATTTTCTACCTCTGTCCTCATGGTAGTAGAGCACCACTCTACACTCCTCGGCAGTGCCTTCCTGCTAGTGACTGAACCTCTCTGCCCTTAGGGGATGGGGATGGATAGCAGCTCTGGTGGTCTGGGGATTTACCAGAGGAGACAAATGCCCTGGGCTCTGGTCTTTTCCCTGCTGCCATCCCTTCCTGGGCTTCATGATTTTCTAGGTAACTTTTCAGTCTGCCCAGGGCTCTGCACAGAGCTGGCTTGAATTAGGTCAACAAATATTTGTTGTGATGATGTGTCCAGCCCTGAGTGAAGTGCTGTAAGAAATAAAAGTGAAGATGACAGTACGAACCCTGCCCCAAAGGAGCCTCAAACCTAACAGGGGAGGCCAGACTTGCCCATGAAATAGTAGGAGGAAGTCAAAAGTCTGGCATCAAGTACCAGGTTATTTGTTTCAGGCTAGGTGCCCTGGATATGTGGAGAAGGAAAGCTAGAGTATTATAGAATGTTACAGAAGACATAGGATTTCCGTGAGACCTTGGTAATACTCTGAAGGATTTGGATAAGTGGTATGTATTAGTTGTCTCTTGTGGTCTAACAGATTACCCTCAAACTTAGCTCAATGCAACAGCAAACATATTATCTCCCACAGCTTCTGGTGGTCAAGGGTTCATGAGCAGCTTAGCTGGGTCTGGCTTGGGGTCTCCCATGAGGTTGCGGTCAAGGTGTCAGCCAGGGCTCCATTAAACCGAAGGACTGACTGGGGCAGGAGGGTCCGTTTCCAGTGGGGCTCCCTCACATGGCTGGTCATTGGCAGGAGACGCCTCTTTACCTTGCCCTGGGGGCCTCTCCAAAGGACTGCTTGAGTGTCCTCATGACATGGCAGCTGATTTCCCCCAGAACAAGTGATCCAAAAGAGAGAAAGGCTGAAGCCACATTGTCTTTCAGGAAGTGGCCTTGGAAGTCAAACACTGTCACCTCTGCACTCTCCTGTTGGCTACACAGGTCAGCCCTGTCCAGTGCACGAGGGGGCTACATGAGAGCACAAATATCAGGAGGGGTCATCAGGGGCCATCTTAGAATCTGATGAGGGCAAAGTCTGCCCTCTGGTCGCCCAATGATTCATGTCCCTCCCCACACGCAAGGCAGACCTACCTCTCCCAAGGCCCTCCAAAGTCTTGTCCAGTTATGACATCAGCTCCCAGTTTATTTTTATTTTTTTTAATTTTATTTATTAGAGAGAGTGAATGAGTGAGAGCACGAGTGGGGGTGGGGGGAGAGGCAGAGGGAGAAGCAGGCTCCCTGCTGAGCGGGGAGCCAGACTCGGGGCTCCATCCCAGGACTCTGAGATCATGACCTGAGCTGAAGGCAGACGCTTCACCGACTGAGCCACCCAGGTGCCCCCAGCTCCCAGTTTAGAATCTCACCATCTAACTTAGGTCCAGGTGCAAATGAGGCTCCTTGGGTCTGGTTCCTGGAGCTCAGTTCCTCGAACACAGTTCCTCTAACACTCCCCACATGAAGAGCCCACAAGGGAGAAAGTGAGGCTCAGAGAGGTTGGGCCTTAACCCAGGTCTTGTAGCTAATGGGTGGCAGAGGCAAGATACCAGACCTACGTCTGTCTGACTCTTGAGCCCGAGTGCTTTCCACCACCCAAGGCGGGCATGAATGTGATCTAGGGCCATGGTGTGGAGGAAGGTGGGAAGAGGCTGGGGTAGGTTAGAAGGCGAGTTTTTACCACAAGAGTGAAGGCCTTAGCAGCTGTGCCTCTTCAGTCAAAGATAGCTGTCTCCACTTCTCTTTACTCTCAGTTTGCTTTGCTCATTTAGAAACAGGACTTGTCAAAACCTCAGCAAATGGGGATTGAGGCAGGTAAAGAAGGCAAGTGGAGTGCTTGGGGGAAGCTTGGATGTGCCCTCGGTCTCTGATTTCGGATCCCTTGGTCATTCGTTGGTTTATGTGGTTGAGGATTTGAGCCCCTCCGCATCTGCTGTTCGGGTGGGAGCGGATGGGAGCCTGCGCTGATCCAGGACCCCACCCCCCCATCTCTGCTTTCTAGGGCAAAGGTCGTTGGAGCCAGCAGAAGACACGATCTCCCAAATCTCCCACCCCAGTGAAGCCCACGGAACCATGCACACCCTCTAAGTCCCGAAGTGCCGGCCCAGAGGAGGCCTCCGAGTCACCTACAGCCCGGCAGATCCCCCCAGAGGCACGTCGGCTCATAGTGAACAAAAACGCGGGCGAGACCCTCCTGCAGCGGGCGGCACGTCTTGGCTATAAGGTAGGGAGAGCCCCAGCGTCTGTGGAGAAGCTTCTCCCCATTGGCTCTTCTGTGGCCTGGGCTTCAACCCCCCCCCCCAGACTCCTTCTATTGCCCAGATGGTCTCTGGGGCCGCCTAGCCACTCTCGGGGAGTGTGGGTACGCAAGCTCATTTGAATATCAATTGGGGATGAAAAGAATTGAAATATTGATAACCCAACACATTCCTAGGCCAGAAACGGGGTTTCGATGTTGTCTTGAGCTTCGCTTTGTGACGGCTCCCTCACTCAGAGAGGAACAGGGGTGATCATCACTCACTTCACACCCTGCAGCTTCCCCTCATTTGAACTCCCGTGGGGGGAGAGTCAGTGGTGCGTCGGCTCCCTGCCCCGACACTGCTTCCCTAGGGGGTGGAGAGAAAGCAGGAAAGGGAGCTGGCATTTATCGAGCACCACTTTGGTCATGTTAAGAGCTCTGATTACTTCATATGATTTCATCTTCACCACTGACCTGTGGAGGTAGGTTTTATTCGCTCCATTTTACGCATAAGAACATCAAGGCTTAGCAGTGCTAAATGGTGTATCCAAGACCATTCAACTCTTAACGTATGTATGATTCTGAATTCCCACCAGGTCTTTTTGATTCCCAAGTGCCAGGGTAGGGTGGAAGCCTGACTCCGTGACCATGATAAAATGTTTTCGGACACTTTTGTTGATACGAACTCCTTGACCATGTATCTTTGCCCACCACACCAATTATTTCCTAAGGATTTGCTCTTAAGGGTGGAACTGCTGGGTTTTAGAGTAGGCCTTGATTTAAGGCCTCCGATCCCTATAACTGACTCATTTAAAGATGGTCGCACTCCCAGCCAGGCTGCTCGGCACAGGAGAACTACCTTGGCAGTGGCTCACTGGCGAGCTGCCCATCTTTCTTGAGCGCCTGGTTTGGGGGCCGGGGTAGGTGCCAAGAGAGGTCTGAGGAAAAAAGATGACCAACCCCTGCCCTCAAGTGTAATCTTCTTTTACCTGGGGCCAAACCAGCAAGTAGGAGACCGCAGGAGAACCAACCAGGACAGGACAGGAGCAGGGGGGGCAGCCTGTCAGGGGAGGGTGGGAGGAGCAGTCTGAGGCCTGAGGGAAGAGGCCAGCATTGTCTGCATTGGTGAGGAGGGTAGGGGCCTTGCGCTCTCCTGAGTGCAGGGAGCGGGATAGTTCCTGTACACCCACGAGACCGCACCCCCACACCGGCACACATCGCCTGCTGGTTCGCGCACTTTCTCATTTCTCACTCACTTGCTCCAGCCGGCTAGCCTGTGAGCTAGCTGTCAGTCAGGGTGCCTGAGCCACCTGTGTCCCCAGGGCCTGGGAGAGGGCTGGTAATGGGCCCCTGGTACTGCTGCCCACGTCTTCCCCTCAGAAGAGGGGCTGCCTCTCCCCTCCCCCTCAGCTGGTTCACCAGCTTCATCCCAGACCAGCTGGGGTGCTTCTAGTCCTGGAGTCCTGCCTTTGGTCTTGTCGTGTAGCCCAGGGAAGCTAATCATTACTCTGTGAATGAATGACCACACTGGGTTATGCTCAGAGCAATCCTGATTTGAGGGGAGGGCTAGAACTGACTGCCCTGGGATAAACATCCAGGGACGGTGCTGAAAACAATTAAAACTAGCCTCCAGAGATAGAACTTCAACCAGTTTTTTCTTCCTTGCTCTCCAATTACCACCAGAGGCCGTGCTTGCCGCCACATGCCTCGTTGCTCTGGGCTGATGCTGTCTTACAAAGGCCCGGCCTAGGGAACCGGTGCTCGGGGAGTTGAGGCCTGAGAGTTTGAGCTCCAGGTGGGCAGGTGAGCCTCTCTGCAGACCTCGCCCCAACAACCCACACCCAGATGAGTGAGTATCCTTGGTCATAAGATGTGTCTCCCCACTTCCAAGGAACTAGCCCAGAGCTCAGGCCCTGGCCATGGCACCTCAGGGCTGACTTCATTGACGAAAGATTTTGAGACTTGCCTGTTATTCCCCGGGATAAAGTGCAGGCTCTGAGACTTCCTCTTTGGACATTTGGAGAGCTTCGAGCCTAACTGGGGTGATCTCAAGAATTAGGCCTCTCTTTGCTTATGGAGCTGTCCCTGTCCCTACAGGATGTTGTTCTCTACTGCCTCCAGAAGGACAGTGAAGACGTGAATCACCGCGACAATGCTGGCTACACGGCCCTGCATGAGGCCTGCTCCAGGGGCTGGACTGACATCCTGAACATCCTGCTGGAGCACGGGGCCAACGTGAACTGCAGCGCGCAGGATGGCACGAGGCAAGAAGGCCGCTCCCCAGCCCCCCCCCCCCCCCCCCCCCCCGCAGCTCAGCCCCTCACTCCAGAGAACTTGCTGCGGCCTGGACCTTCGCAGCACGCCATGCCTTGTCAGGAAGTGCCTCAGGAAGCCGACTACAGACTGCAGGGGGAAGCGGTTTAGGGCAGGGGTGGACGAGTTCCTGGCTGGCCAGCCCACATCGGTTACTAAGGAGAGGTTGGGGTTATTTAGGGATCATCCTGTCAAATGCAGTTTTACCAGGAACACCACTCAGGCGTCCCTCACATCCTCCCGGTGGTGCATCTGTCTTCGGCAGAGTCTTAGGCTTTAGGAACGGGGAGGCCCACCTTAGGGTCACGTCCCAGATTTGATTCTTGATTTGATGTCTGTACACTTTAAAAAAAAAACACACCTGCTGTGTCTTAAAGAAACTGTACCCATTCGCCTGTATCAGAGGGCCTACTTCCTGGGCCACATTGAGACATGAGCTGCTTACCAAGTAAGGGGACTTGGGTCAGAGGACGCAGGCTTTGCTTGGCCGCCACCTAGTGTGTGGAACCACTGTGCTCATCCCTGCTCCAGGGTGGTCATCCAGATCTTTCTGTTCATACCCCCAGCATCTGCTTTAAGTTTATCCTCAGTCAGGGGGGCCCGTTCTCTCCCAAACTCCAGAGCAACCAGTGGGGCTACAGTGCACCTTAGGGACTGTCCCAAAGTTTGGGAGAACATAAGAGAGAAATGGGAGGGAGGAGAAAGAGGCAGAGAGAGGAGAAGGAAGTGGGGAGATCTGATGGTGGGTACAGTTCAGAGGTGGTTCCTCTACCCTAACTCTCACCCACATTATTCTGGGCTCATTTTACGTTACCTTCCCCTGAGGAAGTAGCCCGGTGCTAGACACCCAGGTTCCCATCCATTGTCCTCCCCCTGTGTCACCTCTGCAGGCCAGTTCATGACGCGGTGGTCAACGACAACCTGGAGACCATCTGGCTCCTGCTGTCCTATGGGGCTGACCCGACACTGGCCACCTACTCGGGACAGACAGCCATGAAGCTGGCCAGCAGCGACACCATGAAGCGCTTTCTCAGCGGTAAGCGCGGCCCAGGCTTGAAGCCATCACCCTTGGGGCTGGCCTCTCATTCCTGAACTCCTGAGGAGGTATTCTTCACCTCTCTCCACCTCAAACAGCTCCCATGAGGGGTGTCAGCCCTCTTTACAGGCTTTGCTTGAAGTGTCTCAGAAATCTCTATGCACTTTAAAAAGCCCAGAGGTCCACTTCCTCTTATTCCTGTGTCATGAGTGTCCATATCGCATGCATCCTCTTCAGGGCCATGGCAGCCCACAGGGACCCATTTCCCAGTGAGGTATGTGGGGTAGGCCTCCTTGGGAGACAGTGGCCCCACTAATAGATTGAGCTGTGGGCAGAATGTGTTGACCCCTGTTCGGAGTGGGATGTTAGTTACAAAGAAATGACACTTAGCGTTTTGCTTTTGTCTTTGTACTTTTTCCTTGTTGGTGATCAGAGTGGAACCCTTGGGCCCCCTCCTGATGCTGTATTTCTTTTTTTTTTTTAAAGATTTTATTTATTTTAGAGCTTGTGCGTGCATGAGCGGGGGGAGGGGCAGAGGGAGAGGGAGGAGCAGGCTCCCCGCGGAGCAGGGAGCCCTATGCAGGGCTCGATCCCAGGCCCCTGGGACCATGACCTGAGCTGAAGGCAGACGGTTCGCTGACTGAGCCACCCAGGCACCCCTGATGCTCTGTGTCTCACAGCCCCTGCCTGTGGTAACTGACGTTCCCTCGGCGCCTCCCTGTCCCTCATTCTTCCTCCCTCACCTGGCCCCTCAAGAAAAGTGCCTGGTATTCAGGCCCATGGCAAGAGCCACAAGGCAACATGCATTTATTTTCTCATTAGTGGATAGCCACTGTTTGTCTGCAGTTTGATAGCGCTACCGAGTTGGGCAGCAGGGCAGAGGGAAGGAGAGAAGTCTAGTATGGGCATGCTCACTGGGAATCTGCTCAGACTTGACCGAATGAAGGAACCCCACCTCCTTAGTGACATCACAGCTCGGCCCTTGCTCTAGCAGTTTCTTCTTCAGACTGCCAGAGCGCTGGGCAGACCTGAAGCAGCTAGCAGCCGTCTCATTGCCCCTCTGTGGAGGCTTCCGTGTTTGTGGTTGAACCCCTCTCAGCGCAGGAGCCCACAGGACCAAGGGTTTGCTCAAGACCACTCACTCTCACCCAGGCTGTGGCCCTCATTAGTCCTAAAGGCCCACCTCCCCGAAGATACAGTTCTGGGTTCCCAGCCAGGGGATCATTTATTTCTTGAACAAAGGTTAACTAGATAGCTGATGATGGAGGGAGAAACAAAGGAACACGAACTAAAGGTCCCCACGGGAGGAGGACTAGGTGGGAAGCACCACCTCGTACTAACAAAAGCTGAAGGGGAAGTGATGGGAGGCCATGGAGGGAGACCTTGACCCCTGCTCAGCCAGCCTCCA